GTGGGTTGCCCTGCCCTCCTCCAGGGGATCTTCCTGATCCAGGGATTGAACCCGTGCCTCTCATGTCTCCTGCATTGGCAGGTGGGTTCTTTACCACTAGCACCACCTGGGAAGCCCTAGCCACATGGTATATATCTTCAATTTATCCATCTCCCTTTTCTCCCCTGGTCACCATATGTTTCCATGTATGTGTGTGTGCCTGCTTGTTTGTGCTTTGAGATATTTCTTCCATTCCATCTTTGGGCCACTGAGTTGGATCTCAACAGTATTCTTTAATTATTTTTCTAGTTTAGCTCTAGATTGTAGAGTGTTAGTCCAGCCGTGTCTGACTGTCCTTGAGTGCTCACATTGTCTCTTAGCTCTACCTCCTGTCTTCTTGCGCCCATTATGTCCAAGCATCTCTCTTGCTGGATCCTCTTAAGTGTATTGGTGTTTGATTTTATCAGCTTATTACTGGCTTTCTTTCAAGTGAAGGAGGGGCTGTATTAGATGGTTAACCTGTCTATCACAGGTCAACTGAAGAGCATCTTCCCTCCCCACCGCCGCCCCCTGTAATAGTTCACGTTCCCAGCCCCAGGCCTCGGGATTTGCCCCGGCTCCTGTGTAGTCTCCTGGAGAACGGGAGCACTCAAGTCACTCATGTTAGACAGGGACTGACTTTGCAGGCACGTTGGTATCCAGAACCTGACTCTGCTGGTTATTAAATGCCTTCTAGCCCCAGACCTGCTTAGTTCAGAGGAGTTGGATATACTGGAGCTGGGAGGGAAAGAAGAGGAAGAGACTTGGATGTAACTTTCTTTCAGAATACCCCTTCTGAAGAAAGAATACCCCCTTAACATAAAATGGTCATGTAGAGAAAATTACAGTAAATCAGCATATAGAAAATCAGCATATCACTTAATTTTCTTGGACCTGAGTATCCTTATCTATAAAGTGGGGAGATTGGTAGTTTATTGATCTCAAAGATATCTTCCAGCTCTGACATTCTCAATTTCAGTATTCTAATGATTCTGCATCATATCTCAATATGATAAAGGGGTAGAGTTCAGTAGTTTTACAGTTGTTTTCTGTGGAGCCCTGGGGAAATGCACAAGAGGACAGAGATGGATTTATGGAGATGCTTAGCTTAAGCTTTCATTTAAATGAAGAGTTTAACTGTTAAAACAAGCTTGGAAACCATTGCCATATTCTATATCATCTCCAGAATTAATCTTACAGAGCATGACTTTATTCTGATTTCTCTTCAGTATTTTTGTTTTTCCCCCTTCACATTTTATTGTGGAATTTTATCCTGCCCATGAGTTGTTTTGGGTCAACAGAAATTGGCAGGATTTATAACCTCTATTCTCTTGTGTTAAGCAGTCTCTTCAGAGTCACAGAGGGGCTGAACTGGATCTCTGTCCTTGGGGTACCACTCCCTCCCTCTCCAGGACCATACTGTCTATCATAAGGTTTTAGCAGATTAAATTAAAAAAAAAGAAGGCTTAAAGTAGGTCAATGTGCCTGAGCCACTAGCTTTCTTCAAGATGATTTATTTGAGTTTAAAATGTTGGCTGATGTTTCTCACCAGAAAGAGCAAGTCTTTAAACTACTGATGTTTAAAAGCCAAAGGGACTTTTGTTATTCCTTTATGAAAACATAATGAGTAAATTTAACTCAGAAAGCAGTTCTTACTGCAGATCTCAGCATAGAATAAGTGTTTCATACCTTTTGAAATAATTATATTTTGAATGTCTTAGCAAAAATGTGTGGACTGGGANATGAGTAAATTTAACTCAGAAAGCAGTTCTTACTGCAGATCTCAGCATAGAATAAGTGTTTCATACCTTTTGAAATAATTATATTTTGAATGTCTTAGCAAAAATGTGTGGACTGGGAGGTAAGATACTGAAAACAGGCAAAATTTAATAGAAGTTCTGCCTCAAGCCCAGGTACAGAAATTCTACCCCAGCACAAGTTCATTACAAGTGAGCCCTATAATTAAAAATTTTAAGAATCCTTGGTGTAAGTAATCAGCACATATGATAGGCTACCCACGCCAGTATTCTTGGGCTTCCATGGTAGCACATATGGTAATGGGTTCAATCCCTGGCTTTGGAAGATCCCCTGGAGAAGGGAAAGGCTACCCTGTCCAGTATTCTGGACTGTAGAATTCCACGGATGGTATAGTCCATGGGGTCGCAGAGAGTCGGACATGGCTGAGGGAAAAGGGCTTCCCTGAGCTATCAGGGAAGTAAAAATAAGGTTTATTTAATGATAGTCTGCCACTATCTGTAGCTTTTGGAGTTTCAGTTTTCATTCGTGTTTGAGAGTTCTGGTCTTCATTTTAAATCTCACAAAAACCACACAGTGGGAATCAATCAATTTAAGGCACGCAGCCAGAAATACAGATAGGTTAAAAGATCTCCTATGTTTCATTTTTGCTAAATGTATTGTTAACTAAGAACAACAACAACAACAAAAATTTGTTTAGAAACACTGGCTCACTAACCATGGGGACTCACAGAATGCACGAATTACATATGCCCTTTCCCCGAGTGAAAGTGAAAAATGCAAACATTTATGTGACTGTGAGATGACCATACGTCTAGGCTCTAGAAATCTGGGCTATGCAGGCCTCAGCCAGCCTTCCAGGGTGTGTGACAAGAGTATAGCAACTTGGCAGAGTGACAAAGCTAACAGAGAGGAGGTCATGCTGGTGGCAGGCAGCTCGGCAGAAAGCCCCACAAAGTCCCACCAAGGGCATCTTCCCTTACATCCAGCGTCTGAGCCTCTCACTGCCAAGGCCTCACTTCTCCATAGTAAATTTGAAATTTATATAGACCCTGAAATCAGCAAATCAGCAACTGTTTTTTCCCTATCCGTCTCCCTCTGCCTCCTTATATCTCTTTCTCTCTCTCTCCCCTCTTACTTCTTTATTTAAAAAGCAATTTGCAGCTACCTAATGCCCTCATTCGACCTCCCTTATAGGAAGACCTACTTTGTGGGGAGGCTGCGTCCAGGTTCCGCATGTAGACTAATTTGGTCACTTTTTTTCAGGCTTATTTGTTTCTCATGATTTTATTTATTTGTTTGTTTTTGGCTGTGCTGAGTCTTCATTGCTGCAGGCGGGCTTTTCTCTACTTGGGGGAAATGGAGGCTACTTTCTAGTTGCTATGTGCAGGCTTCTGATTGCAGTAGCTTCTCTTGTTGAAGAGGATGGGCTCTGGGGCACGCAGGCTTCAGTAGTTATGGCACGTGGGTTCAATAGTTGTGGTTCCCGGGCTCTCAACAAGGCTCACTCTGTGGTGATCTTTCCCGATCAAGGATCAAAGTCATGGGATCTTCCCTGCCCAGGGATCAAAGTCATGTCTCCTACATTGGCAGGTGGATTCTTTACCACTGAGCTACCAGGGAAGCCCAAATTTGGTCACTTTTGATGAGTTCCACTTGGGACAACCTTTACCAGCATGGTTAGACAAAAAGGAAACTTCCATGCCTAGCAGGGGTGCAACTCCTCCATCCTCTAACATCTGGGGATGTTGGCTCTTAGGTTGTACTCACCAGCTCCAGGCAGGAGATGGCTGGATTATGCCAGACACTCCTCCCTGCAGTCAGCTGGCACCCTAGCATAGGCATACCAGCCCTTTGCTCCTTCACATTCCAAAGCTTTAGGGTTTTGATCTTTGGTCTCTTTCTTTTCTCAGGCCTAATTGCAGGAATCACTGCTCTGCATCTACATTCCATCCATTTACCTTCTCAGTCTTCAAATTCTTTCTCCATAATCATTATCAATACTCTATTCTAATCAAAGTAAGATTAAACTTTACCACTTGGGGGCCATTAAGACCAAAGCCTTATTGCCTGTTTAGCTTATGAGGGCATTTGAGTTTGTGGCCGAATAACACAAACCTGAAAAACCAATAAAGGAAGACCAGTTCCCTCTTATGATAAGGAGAAGGAGTCTATGAAAACACTATGGAGGCTATGAAAAGAGAAAATAAACAGGATAATGTTGCAATCCACTCACCTGTGATGATGTAAGGAACCCACCACTATGCAGAGTCTCCCCGAGATTGATTTAAAAAAATTTACTTTTTACTATAAAAATTATGTTTGTGAAATCTAATAAAGAAAACTTTTTGTTTTCAGTTTTTTTAGGCTAGGGTAATAATTACAGATTTCTAGTTGAATTCAATAAAACATAAATTTGAAATGAGAAAATGAATCTAGGTAAATCCCTGATAAGTAGTGAAAGTCACTCAGTTGTGTCCAACTTTTTGTGACCCCATGGACTATACAGTCCATGGAATTCTCCAGGCCGGAATACTGGAGTGGGTAGCCTTTCCCTTCTTCAGGGAATCTTCCCAACCCAGGGATTGAACCCAGGTCTCCCACATTGCAGGTGGATTCTTTACCAGCTGAGCCACAAGGGAAACCTGGCAGGCTCCAGTCCGTGGGGTCACAAAGAGTCAAACATGACTGAGCGAATAACACTGGATAAGTAGTCATGATTCCCCCCGTAATGGCTAACACTTAAAGGATACTTACCTACTACTAACCCTTAATCCTCACAAAACCCCTTTAAAGTAAACATTAATATTATCAACATTTCACTGAGGAAGAAAGTGAATTAAGAAATAAATTTGTAAATTGGAAAATCAGCTGGAATCTGGGTCTTTCTGGGCCTAGTCACAACTGTTTCATATTCTCTGCCTCTTCATGTGTAGATATTTAAGAGTTCATGAAAAAGTAAAAGAGTAGATTTGCATTGTAGCATTGAAATGATTATTGCAATAATTATTGAGTTGCACAGTACTCAAAAAACAATGTAATCTGTGTTTGTACTCCTACTCTATTTCTATAAACTCTTTTGAAAAAATTTGCCATGAATACCAAGTGCTGAAGTACTTACCTTTTAAAATTTGAATGGATAGTTTTAATTTTCAATGTTTATTTATTCCTATTTAAAACAGCATAATTTTAGGTTTTCTGACTTTGGTTCTGAATGTTTTTTCTAGGGTCAACGTCTTTTCGAAAAGTTGCTCCAACTGACTTCTCAAAGTATTGAAATCAAGCTAGTGAGTGATGTAACAGCTGATTCAAAGGTATTAGAAGCCTTGAAATCAAAGGGTAAGGCCAAGGTTGACATGGTACTCTACCTCTGGGTGTTCTGTTCCAGTCATTTAATTCTATTTAGCGTAGTACATGATTTCTTTTTACACAATTTCTTTATAATCAACACACTTGACTTAGTACACTTCCTGTTTCTCCTTTGAAAAACAGCCTGATTAAAGTCTTTAAATGAGGGAACTAATTAATCAATTCTACTGGGATTTTTAAAATAGTGCTGTTGCATATTAGCTTATGCAAAGTACTCTACTGGCCATTAGATGATAATTAACTAGAAAGAAGAATCTTTCCCTCTGTAAACACTTCAATGATGTGATTAGAGAGAAGAGCCACTTCTTATCAGAACAAACATTGGATTTCTGGTTTTCTCTTGACCATTAGATGAAAGATCTCTTTGTGCTACATGTATTGTTTGAAATAATATAGTCAGAGGTAGGAGTCTATGAGTCATTGCCTTATTCATGACTTTTAAGATAATTCTGCAGGAGACCATCATTTGTTTGGTCACTTTACAATTTGCTTCACACTTTCTGAACACTGAGGATAATTATGAAATAAATTTCTTCATTTTGCTGTATCCTTTGCTAACTGAACTCTCACTTATAAAGTTTTTACTGATTTATAATATATATATAATACACACACACACTGAATTTGCTTGCAGACTGTAAGCCTGTGAAAGACATATAATAAATGTCAGAAATTTATTATTAACAGAAATTATTAATAACAGAAATATTTTGATGAACCATTTGAAATCTGTGTTGGAATACTTCACTTGGGGTAGCTTTTATTTTTTTTTAGGGAGAGTTCCTTGTCTTTTGGTAAAGTTCCAGGAAGGTTTGTCCTGAAATAGTTCACAAAAGACAGGTAAATGTAAGACTAGCTATGAGCAACTTCAGCTGTGAAGGAGTTACTGAGTTTAGAAGTTAATCAGATCCATCCTTCCTCACCTCCCCTGCCCTCAGCTTGGCAACCACAGGTCTGTTCTCTGTGACTGTAGGTGTCCATTTCATAGATAGGGTCATTTGTGTCATATTCTAGATTCTACATGAGAGTATTTGTCTTTTTCTTTCTGACTTACTTCATTTAATATGATAATCTCTAGTTGCATCCAGGAATCCTAATGAACATTCTTTGGGCATCTTCAGATCATTTTGGCTTCCTCACCACAAAGAATTTACCAAACAGTAAATATTTAATTGGCATTTCCTTGTGATTAAATCTTACTTTGATTAAAGTCAAAACTTTAATATCTGAAATAAGAANTCTAGTTGCATCCAGGAATCCTAATGAACATTCTTTGGGCATCTTCAGATCATTTTGGCTTCCTCACCACAAAGAATTTACCAAACAGTAAATATTTAATTGGCATTTCCTTGTGATTAAATCTTACTTTGATTAAAGTCAAAACTTTAATATCTGAAATAAGAATATAGCACTTTCATTTTTCTTAACAACTGTTTTAAAAATAAACCATTAATTACATTTTATTTCTCCATGATTGTTTAATAACCTGTTGTAAAACAAGAAATGAAAATTGGCAATTATGTGTATTAAATATATCATTTATACTTTTTAAAACAGTTCAGATTTGGGGATCAGCAAGCTTTTCATAGCAACTATTCTGATAAAACTCTAAAATATTACTTGAAAAAGAAAATATGACTTTAACTAGGATAAAATATTTTGATTTCAGGTTTACAAGCATATACAAGGTAGAGGTTGTTTCATATCAGAGGGGCAAACAGCTTTGAAATTAGACATGCTGTCCCTTAATTCCTAATTTTAATTTCCAATTATCTGCTCAGAATTTTAGAAAAAAGATTACCACAGAATAGTTTAATAGTTGATAGAGCTACATCTGGGTGATGCTATTTTTCTAGCACCACAAATGCTAGCTATCTCATAGCAATGCAATCTGCACATTTTAAGTATTGTACAGTAGTACCAAATTTCTCATTATTAATCAGTGTGTTCACAGAATACTTCATAATGCAAAACTTGACCTATAGAGAAAAATCTATTCTATTCTATGCAAAAATTTCTATTTGTCAGTGAAAGCTCTTTCTTTTTTTCCTCCAGCTTTATTGAGATATAATCAACAAATTTGGATCAGGAAGGTCCCCTGGAGGAGGGCATGGCAACCCACTCTAGCATTCTTGTCTGGAGAATCCCAAGGACAAAGGAGCCTGGCAGGCTGCAGTCCATGGGGTCACACAGAGTTGGACATGACTGAAGTGACTTAACTTCAGTTAAGTTACATGAATGCACATGCATGCAATCAACAAATAAAATTATATATATTTAAATGGTATGATGTGGTGATTTGATATATATTGATGCTCTGAAATGATGGCGACATTAAGGTTAATTAATCACCTTACACAGTTACTTTTTTTTTCTATTTAGTGGTAAGAACTCTTAAGATTTACTGTCTTTACCAAATTTCAAGTGTGCAATACAGCATTATTACCTGTAGTCACTATGCTGTACATTAGATCTATAGAATGTACTCATATTTTTTAATTGAAGTACAATTGATTTACAATGTTGTGTTAATTTCTGCTGCACAACAAAGTGATTCAGTTATGCATATATGTAAATTCTTTTTATGTTATTTTCCATTATGATTTATCATAGGGTATTAAATATCATTTCCTGTGATGTACAGAAGAACCTTGTTTATCCATTCTATATAATAGCTTACATCTGCTGACCCCAACTCTCCACTCCATCCCTGTCCCAACCCCACTTCCACCTTGGCAAACACAACTCTGTTCTGTCTGATTGTGAGTCTATTTCTGTTTCACAGATAGGATCATTCGTGTCATTCTTGAGATTCCGCATACAAGTGATATCATATAGTATTTGTATTTTTCTTTCTGACTTCACTTAGTTGATATCTAGTTGCATCCATGGTTGCTGCAAATGGCATTATTTCATTCTTTTTCATGGCTGAGTAGTGTTCCATTGTATATATATACCACATCTTCTTTATCCCCTCATCTGTTGGTGGGCATTAGGTTGTTTTCATGTTTGGGCTGTTGTGAACTGTGCTGCTATGAGCATAGGAATGCATGCCATTTTTTGAATTATGGTTTTGTCTAGGTATATATGCCCAGGAGTGGGATTGCTGGATCTTATGGCAATTGTATTCATGGTTTTCTGAGAAACTTCCATACTGTTTTCCTTAGTAGCCACCAAGGAGAGCACCAGCTTACCTTCATACATTATAGTTCATACATCCTATGAACAGCATAGGAGGATTCCCTTTGCTCCATACCCTTTCCAGCATTTGTTATTTGTAGATGTTTTAATGATGCCCACTCTGAGTGGTGTGAGGTGGTACCTCAGTTGTAGTTTAGTTTTGATTTGAACTCTCTAGTAATTAGTGGTGTTGAGCATCTTTACATTGGCCATCTGAATTTCTTCTTGGAGAAATGTATACTTAGGTCTTCTGCCCATTTTTCAATTTTTTTTCTTTGTTGTTGTCATTGAGTTTTATGAGCTATTTATATATTTTGGAAATTAAATTCTTGTTGGCTGCATCATTTGCCAATATTTTCTCTCATTCTTTTCATTTTGTTTATGGTTTCCTGTACTGTGCAAAAGCTTGTAAGTTTGATTATGTCCCATTTTTTAATTTTTGCTTTTATTTCTACTGCCTTGGGAGACTGACCTAAGAAAACATTGGTATAATTTATCTCAGAGAATGTTTTGCCTATGATTTCTTCTGGGAGTTTAATGGTGTCATGTCATATTTAAATTGTTAAGCCTTTTTGAGTTTATTTTTGTTTATGGTGTGATTTTTGTGTATTGATTTACAAGCACCTGTCCAATTTGCCCAACATCACTTGCTGAAGAAACTTTTTCCCATTGTATATACTTAGCTCCTTTGTCAAAGATTAATTGACTATAGGTGTGTGGATTTATTTCTGAGTTCTCTGTTTTTGTGCCAGTACCACACCATTTTGATTACTATGTCTTTGTATTTAATAGCTTTGTCTGAAGTCTGAGAGGGTTCTGCCTCCTGCTTAGGAACTTACTCATCACTGAGGACTTCCCAGGTGGCACTTAGGGGTAAAGAACCTGCATGCCAATGCAGGAGGCATAAGAAACAAGGTTTCAATCCCTGAGTCTAGAAGATCCCCAGGAGGAGGGCATGGCAACCCACTCCAGTATTCTTGCCTGGAGAATCCCATGGACAGAGGAGCCTAGAGGGCTACAATCCATAGGGTCACAAAGAGTCAGACACAACTGAAGTGACTTAGCTCACACGCACGCATCTTATAACTGAAAGTTTGCACCCTTTGACCACCATCTCCCTATCTCTCCCAAACACACTCCCCCAGTCCCTGGTACCGATTGTTCTACTCTCTGTTTCTATAAATTTGACTTTTTATTTATTTTTTTTTAGATTCCAGAGTTAAGTGAGACAACATAGTATTTGTCTTTCTCACTCTGGCCTCTTTCAGTCAGAATAATGTCCTCTAGGTTCATCTGTGTTGTTGCAACTAGCAGGATTTCCTTCTCTCTCATGGCTGAGTAACATATTCCATTGTGTGTGTGTTTGTGTATGTATGCACACACACATCTTCTTTATCCAGTCATCCATTAATGGACTCTTAAGTTTGATGTATCTTTGAATAATGCTACAATGAATATGGAAGTACAGACATCTCTTCAAGATATTGATTTTTGTTTCTTTTGGATATGTACCCAGAAGTGGGACTGCTGAATCATATGTTGGCTTTATTTTATGTTTATTTTTAGAAACCTCCATACTGTTTTCCATAGTGGTTGCACCAATTTACAGTCCAACCAACAGTGCAAAAAGGGTTCCCCTTTCTCTACATCCTCACCAACACCTATCTCTTAGCTTTTTTATAAGAGTCATCTTAATGCATGAAGTGACATCTTCTTGTGGTTTTGATTTTCATTACCTTCATGATTAGCAATGTTGAGCACCTTTTCAGGTTCTGTTCAGTTCAGTTCAGTCACTCAGTCATGTCTGACTTTTTGTGACCCAATGGATTGCAGCATGCCAGGCTTCCCTGTCTATCACCAACTCCTGGAGCGTACTCAAACTTGTGTCCATAGAGTCAGTGATGCCATCCAA